CAAAATGAACAGGTAGGGAAATTTTTGCTCTACCCGATTGTTGTTTAGGTTTGCGAATGTAGCTTTCGATTTGTGAGAAAATGGCCTTACGAGGTTTGTTTAGAAAATGGAGTTGAGGCCATTTCAATTGTTGGTCTTGAGTTAGTGCGCAGCTGTAGTGATGATAAATCAAGACCAACAATTGAAATGGCCTCAACTCCATTTTGTAAACAAACCTCGTAAGGCCATTTTCTCACAAATCGAAAGCTACATTCGCAAACCTAAACTACAATCGGGTAGAGCAAAAATTTCCCTACCTGTTCATTTTGTTGGTTTCGCTTGGCGGACTTCGGTTCGCGAGAAAATGGCCTTACAAGGTTTGTTTACAAAATGGAGTTGAGGCCTTTTCTATTGTTGGTCTTGAAAGACTCGGTGCTCCATCGTTTCCATACGTCTTGGAAGATTTTTTGCGTCTGCTGCCAATGATGGAGTCTGTTGAACGGAATTACTGATAAATCTTCATCCGGAAATGCCTTCAAAGATGATCCAATCAAGAAGTGCCCTGATGTAAGCGGCTGGAAATCAGACGGGTCATCGCTGATCGGAATAATGGGTCTGGAGTTGAGGCAGCATTCTATCTGAATGAGAAGTGTTTCCATGTCGCCGTAGTCTATTTTGAACGGCCCCAATACCCGGAACAGATGTTTTTGAGCTGAAGCAATGGCAGATTCCCATAACCCTCCGAAATGGGAGGCCTTCGGTGGATTGAAATGCCATTTGATGCCGTTGCTGGTACATTCATGGGCGAAACCTTGCTTGAAGTCGTTGCTGCGTAACAATCTTCGAAGTTCGTTGGAAGCACCAACAAAGTTGCGTCCATTGTCGCTGTATATTTCCGAGCAGAATCCTCGGCGTGAAGCTAAAACGTCGGAACGCCTGCATAAACTTTGCTGTTGTTAGGTCCACAACTAATTCGATATGTATGGCTTTGATGCAAAAACATACAAACACCGCAACGTACGCCTTCCTTGCTGCTGACCGTCGGTTGGCTGGTCGCAGAAGAATTGGTCCCCAGTAGTCAACACCTGTTACTGCGAACGGCCGGGCTGCTGTGACATGAGCTGGAGGTAGATCAGCCATGAACTGTTCCACCTTTTTGGGGTTTGCTCTGAAGCACGCAACGCAGTTGTGGACTACTTTCCTGGCCAGACTCCTGGCCCCTATGAGCCAGTATCGGTTGCGAAGAAGAGTGAGGAGAAGCTGTGGGTTTGCGTGAAGATTTCGTTCATGGACTTGTTTGACCAGAAGAAACGAGAATGGGTGGTGTTCCGGAAGCAAAATTTGATGCTTGCTGTCGAATGACTGTTGTGCGTTAGTCAATCGACCTCCGATGCGAATGATTCCTTTATCGGACAGAAACGGGTTAAACCAACGAAGTCTTGATCTGGTAGAAATTGGTCATCTCTCGCTAAGTTGTGTCCATTCGACGGGAAAAGCCTGCTGCAGTAGGAGGTGACACGTAGCAACCGTTGGTAATTGGAAAACGACGCAACAAAATTATCGATGAAAGTCGGCTCTTGATGGACGTTGCGAGCTGCAACTGATACCTTGTGGGCTTCTCGTAGAGTCATAGGAGTCTGTAGATCGTTGTGTAGTCCGATCGGCCACTGATCTGGTTCCAACTGTGGCCAAGCTGGTCCACTCCACCAAAGGGTGCTACTGACAAGAGATTCTGCTGTGGCTCCACGAGAAAGAATGTCAGTTGGGTTTTCTTTCCCTGCGATGTGATTACAGTTGCAGCCTTCAGTGGCCAACTGTATCTTGGATACTCTATTTGCCACAAACGTTGTCCAGGTGGATGGATTGCCCTTTAGCCAGCAGAGGACCGTGGTGGAATCGACCCAGAAAAAAGTCTGCATTTGGTTAGGCAAGGAAGCGATGATCTTCTGGTAGAGTTCTGCAGCGAAAAGAGCTCCACACAGTTCAAGTCGCGGAATGCTACTTTATTATCTTGCATTTGCTGTTTCTTCAAGAGTTGAAGTAGAGTAGATGGAAAGGCACGAGTTCTTCTCTAGGCAAGATTCTCAGAGGTCTGGGTTTGCATTTGGGCGGCAGTACTTCTGAAATTTTAAATCTGATAGTCATTATTGAAGAAGGGTGCTGGGGTGGCGACTATTCTATTATTTTGATGACGATCTAAAAAGATCAAACGATCAAAAACTAGTTTTCCCAAAATTGAGGTTAAGGCCTCATTTCATACGCTATTTAGTATTTACCCTTATGAGTGATTTTGTAACAAGCAATGTTAGAAATATGACATTTCCCTAACGCTATTGTTAGGGAAATGTCATATTTCTAACATTGCTTGTTACAAAATCACTCATAAGGGTAAATACTTAATAGCGTATGAAATGCAATGGGTTATGATTTTGATGCTAGTCAGAGGATTTTTTGTTAGAATTTTTGTTATTGAATCTACATCCGGAATCTAAATTGTAACAACCGTTGTTACAACAATCGGGAGATCAAAATAACACAGGATATGAGTAGTTTGTTATTTCGGGAAGGCTACCCGAGAAGACGAGAATATCAAATAAATAGCAAGGTTTACTATTAAAATTGAGGAACAGAATATCATAAATTGCTATTATAGCTGTTTAGTTTGATTGATATAAGTGGGAAAATATCAATAATAATATCAAAAAATCTTTGACACCATAAGTGAGTAATAGCAAAGTAAGTTTCTGCCATATTAGAAAAAAAAAACATAGCTAATTAATTAAACATTTTGCTATTACATGTATACCTCGATATAACGTAACTGTCACTTTTAACTTCCGAGGATACACCTATGTTTTTTATGATGATTGTGCGCACCGCCGAGCACTGGTCACATATCTTGCGCCGTGCCACAGGAGACATCCTTCACTTCGTCAGTCACGCCCGCACACCCGAAATGGTACCATCTTTGGCAGTGGTCGCAAAACACCATTTCGTCCTCGGCACTATCCGGTAGTTGGCATCCCACGCAACTGTAACCCGTCTTATCAAGATCTGGTATCGGTCCCGGCAGAGAGAGAAGAAACCCTGCAGGATATGCGGTCGTCTTGATCATCGGATCCGGAACTGTGAGACGTTTAGAAGACTTCGGATAACGGAAAGATCGGAGGCAGTTCGTAAGTTGCAGCTATGCTATCTGTGCCTGAACGAGCATGGAAATGCACGTTGCAAACTTAATTTTCGATGCAACGTGGGTCAGTGTAGTGAGCCACACAATCCTCTGCTGCATTTCGACCAGTCGCCAGCCGCCAATTCTAACTGTTACCTGCATAACATCCAGCGCAAACCATCGGTGATATTCCGGATGATTCCGGTAACACTCTACAACGGAAGCTCTGCCGTGGACACCATAGCTTTCCTGGACGAAGGTTCTTCGTATACGTTGGTCGAGAAGTCACTGGCAAACTTATTGCGAGCAAAGGGGGTCGTGCAACCACTCCGAGTGACGTGGACAGCAGGAGTGACCCAATTGGAGAAGGATTTGAGAAGGGTGGAGCTCTTTATTTCCGCACGAGGATCGTCACAACGTTTTCGTATCACGGCTGCCCACACGGTCGAGAGTCTGAAGCTACCGCAACAAACCATAGCTATGTCAGAGGTGGTCAACGAACATCCCCACCTTCGAGGTTTACCTGTGTCCGATCTACGCAGAGGAGTTCCTCAAATCATCATCGGCCTGAAAGACATCCATCTATACGCGCCCATCGAATCCAGAATCGGTCGACCGGATGAACCGATCGCCGTCAAGTCGAAGCTGGGATGGACGATCTACGGACCTACCCATTCAAGCCACTCAGAAACGGGAATAGTTGGACATCACAGCTGTGACATCGTATCCAACGAGGATTTGCACGACCTGTTACGGAGTCATTACGCCCTGGAAGAATCTATGATTTCCGTAGCACTGCTTCCCGAATCCAGTGAAGACAAGAGAGCGAAAAAGATCCTGCACAGCACGACCATCAGAATTGGGAACCGTTTCGAGACAGGACTTTTGTGGAGAGAGGACGACCCACGATTCCCTGACAGCTACCCGATGGCGGTCAAACGGTTCCGTTGTCTAGAGAGACGGTTGGTAAAAGATCGTAGCCTGTACGACAAGGTAAGGGGGCTAATATCCGATTATACTAAGAAGGGGTACATCCATGTAGCTTCAAAGTCTGAGCTAGCTGAGTTCCAACCGGATGAGGTGTGGTATTTGCCACTGAGTGTTGTAATACATCCGAAGAAGCCAGGGAAAGTCCGTTTAGTGTGGGACGCTGCGGCCGCAGTAAATGGGGTGTCACTGAACTCGAAGCTTTTGAAAGGTCCGGACATGCTGACTCCACTCCCAAGCGTATTATCGAAGTTCCGTGAGCGAGAAGTGGGTTTTGGAGGTGACATCAGGGAGATGTATCTTCAAATGATGGTCCGTAAAGCTGATAAGCGATCACGATTCGTCTTCCGAGGAAGTTCAGCGGAGGAATTCGAGGTCTACATCATAGATGTGACGATGTTTGGTGCGACGAGCTCGCCATGCTCCGCCCAATTCGTTAAGCACCTCAACGCGAGAGAGTATGCAGTGCAGTTTCCGGAAGCGGCAAAGGCGATCGTGGAGAACCATTATGTTGACGATTACTTCGACAGCACGGACACAGTAGAGCAGGCAGTTAAACGAGCGCAGGATGTGAGGTACGTACACGCGAAAGCCGGTTTCGAAATCTGGAACTGGGTGGCCAGCTCCAACGAAGTTCTCCAGAGCATGGGGGAACCAAAGGCTGCAAAATGTGTGCAGTTCACGGAAGATAAGGGAACGAGCCTAGAGCGAGTCTTGGGCATAGCTTGGTGTCCGAATGGCGACGAGTTCACGTTTTTAGCAAAGCTACGGGACGAGTTGATGCCGTACATATCGGGAGAACGAAGACCCACCAAACTTGTTTGATCCACTTGGAATGCTAGCAACGTTCACCGCTCACGGAAAAATGCTAATCCAGGATTTGTGGCGTAGTGGCAGTGATTGGGATCAACCGATCGACGACGATTGCTGCGATAAGTGGAATCGGTGGATCAGTCGACTTCCAGAGGTTGAGAACGTGAAGATCCCACGCTACTACTTCCGAAGATGCAGTTCCGTCGATTATAACTCCCTCCAACTCCATGTTCTTGTCGATGCCAGTCAAGACGCGTACGGTGCGGCTGCGTATTTTCGTGCTTTGACCGACGAAGGGCCGTTGTGTTCCCTGGTGATGGCGAGGTCGAAGGTCGCACCGTTGAAGATGCTGTCAATTCCACGTCTCGAGCTGCAGGCAGCAGTCGTAGGATCCAGGCTAATGAATTCCGTGATCGAGGCTCATTCGTTGGACGTGAAGAAAAGGTTCATCTGGTCCGATTCAAGGACGGTGATTTCGTGGATTCAGTCGGAGCAGCGCCGATACAAACCATTCGTAGCCTTTCTGAAATTCTGAGTCTCACGAAACACAGTGAGTGGCGGTGGATCTCTACGAAGAGCAATATTGCCGATGATCTAACGAAGTGGAAGAAGGGAAGCAGTTTGGATTCGAATGGTCCATGGTTCCAAGGCCCGCGATTCCTGTATCAGCCGGAAGAAGAATGGACGCAGCAAGACAGCGTGGAGCCGAATACCACAGAAGAAGTCCGAGCATGTCATCTGATTCATGATGTCTCGATAGCGGAGTCCGTGGTAGATGCGACGCGTTTCTCGCGTTGGAAAGTTTTGGTCAGAACGGTAGCGTGCATGTACCGGTTCACGTCCAATTGCATCAAAAAACGGGAAGGCTTGGCGATTGAAACGGTGTCGGCACCAGCAAGGGTGCAACGATTGGTGAAGCGGTCTGTACAAGCGGTGGTGGTTCCACTGAAGCGAGAGGAGTTTCAACGTGCTGAAGCCTACCTGTGGCGTTCTGCGCAGTCGGAGTTTTACGGGGAAGAAATCCTGATCCTGTTAAAAAACCGAGAGCTTCCGTACACCGAATGGCATCCGTTGGAGAAAAACAGCAGTCTGTACGACCTCAGCCCATTCTTGGACGAGGAAGATGTGCTACGAATGGAGGGCAAAGCGGCTCAGGGTTCATTTCTTCCATTTGAACTCAGATTCCCCATCATCTTGCCAAGAAAGCATCAAATCACGACCAGATTGCTGGAGTACTATCATCAGCAAGCAGCTCATGCGAATTCGGAGACTGCTGTAATTGAAATCCGACAGCGTTTCCGGATTCCAAATCTCCGGACGGAATTGAAAACAGTGGCAAAGGCGTGCGTGCAGAGTGAGAAAGTGTATTCCGAAAATCCCGAGAATGGCTCCACTTCCATTGGCGCGAGTTACTCCAGGTTTCCAGCCCTTCAGCTTCACTGGCGTTGACTACTGTGGGCCAATCATTGTTACCGTTGGACGTCGATCGGAAAAGCGGTGGATTTGTCTCTTCACTTGCCTAGCAACGAGGGCAATCCATCTTGAGGTCGCTCATAGCTTGTCCACTCAGTCGTGCCTGATGGCCATCCGACGTTTCGTTTGCCGAAGAGGCAAGCCGATCGAGTTTTTCTCGGATAACGGCACAAACTTCCAGGGCGCCAGCAAGCAAATTATGCAGAAGATCGAAGGAGACTGCGAGGAAGAGTTGACGGATTCCAGGACCCGCTGGAACTTCAATCCTCCAAGTGCACCTCACATGGGCGGTATTTGGGAGCGGTTGGTTCGCTCGGTGAAAGCAGCGTTGGAGGTGCTCAACGACGGACGACGATTGACGGACGAGGTGTTGCTGACTGTGTTGGCGGAGGCTTAAGACCTGATCAACTCTCGCCCCCTGATGTACTGTGGTCTCGCACCGAATGCGGGAGAAGCCCTCACGCCGAACCATTTTGTGAAGGGAATCGGGGCGACTGGTAAAGCGGAAATGGTTCCCCAAACAAATGAAGCAGAAGCTTTGCGGGACAGCTTCAAACGGTCCCAAGCGTTGGCAGATCAGCTGTGGAAGAGATGGGTGTCGGAATATTTGCCCACGATCAACAAGCGATCGAAGTGGCATTCGGAGGCACAACCAGTTAGTCGTGGAGACCTGGTTTACATCGCAAACGAAGGTATGCGGAAGAGCTGGACACGGGGCATGGTGTTGGAAGTCTACCCTGGAGCAGATGGAAGGATTAGGCAGGCGTTGGTGAAGACGGCGAAAGGAGAGTACAGGCGCCCGGTAACGAAATTGGCGGTGCTGGAAATCCAGGATAGTAAATCTGGCTCCATGGAGGAACCCTCACCAGAATTACGGGGAGGGGGTATGTGCGCACCGCCGAGCACTGGTCACATACCTTGCGCCGTGCCGTACCTGTGGAGCGCAATGAACGTTGCGCCTAAACGTCAATGATGGAACGGGTGGAAACAAAGCGAATGAGAGTGTGAGAGAGTAACATAAATAAAAACAAACAGTGACTAGCAAATCGATTGTAAGCAGTGTAATTAAATTAATCAAATATTTGGAAGAGTTTTTGAGTTCGTCGTTCGAGGGATAGTTTGATCCGTGGTGCAAATATTTGTCTTGCTAAATAAACATTCGGATTGGACCGGAAAGATTATACTGCGGTGAACGTAACCTGCAAAGATAGAAGTGAAATCAGGAAACAATAAATTTTCAAGAACATACAACACTGCTGTGGAAATTTGTTTCGAAAATTGGTCCGAACCCAGTGCGAATAATGATGATGGTCTCACCTATTACCCCTACAAACGCTTGAGCTGGACGATTTATCTTTAAGATAATTAAATATGACAATTTAACGAGGTTTGCAAACAAAATCGAACTGCCGGTAAATTATACAAATTAATAACAGTACTAATAATGTGCATTTCAGCTTTTGAGATTTTAAATTTTACATTTCCCAAAATTCATACAATCCCCAGCCAATTAACAAATGTACATAATAGTTAAAAATGTTTTAAATATTTAAAATACATAAAAATTGAAATGAAAAACTGCTATTATTTTAAACAATTTTACAAAATGTCTCACTTTCCAACAGGTGCTTCCAAAAATTTGGTATTTTGTAATCTTAAATTTTAACATATTTGTAGTTCTGTGGCGAACGTTTCAGCTCAATTGATCATAAGTTAACAAAGTTACATCATGTCAAATTTGACCATTTTGTATGGAAATCGGCATGCGCTGCTATTTTATTGATACAACTGCATGTTTTGTTGGGGTGTTGTTTAAATTATTCAATATAATGACATATTGATAGCTTATTCTTCTATCTGATCAAAACCAGCTAATGAATCCATGATATACAAATATCATAACAATAGCAAAGTAAGCTTTGATGGCAGAATAAACTATTAACTTTTTATAGTGCACAGCTTACTAATTACATACTAAGATATTGATGGAAACATGTGATATTATTTTTCTCTGGCTTTGCCATCCCCTTCTACCTGGGTGTTGAATTCTTATAATATTCACTTATTTTATTCGAATGAATTGCCCCCTTCCCAAAATTCTCATACAATTGAATCATTGGACCACCTTCTCTGAAATAAATATATATATCCGTTAATAATATTTTGAAAAGTGTGTTTACAGCAGTCGGCTATTTTGTTAGAACTGGCAAATCAATTCGTTTTTAATAAATTCCTACATCGTACCTAACATTCTATCAAACTCAATTTGTTCTACTGCAAAATTCAAGCCATCGGTTTTTTTTCCTAAATCAACTTCCACTTACACCCACCGCTCGAACCTAACGATCTCCGGGCGTTGATGTTTCAATTTCGTGTACTTTGCCCGCAAGAGCGAATTTGCAGCATATATTCTGCTTCATGCGCGGCGAGAAAGACAGGCATAGAGTTGATGTGCATCATCTGGTTCTACTCCACCGTCGTCGTCGTCGTCGTCAGCCAGCTAGCTATTCAGCCATCCGGCAGAGATGAGCTCTGGGCTACGAGGTCAAAAGTAGCTTTCCGCCACACCGCAGTAAGAACGATAGGTACCAACCTACTACATGTGCTTGTGCATGTTTTATGACTATATATGGCTCATTCCTACCAACAACCTGCGCCAAAAACTGGAGGCAGCGAAGATTTGCTGCAGTGTGGGCTACACTTTTGGGATAGACGATTTAATCTAAAGACCGTGTGGTTTTGGGGAAGAGAATATGCTGTTTGATTAATTTTACAACAGTTTCCTCCGATTGGGAAGTGGCGGAGGAGGAAAATTGAAGCAATAGCAAATAAGGCGAATATCAAGTTATCACATTTTCGAGAGCATATTTTAGTACCCCCCAAGTGGGAAGAAGTACGATGTTCCGAAAAAAGAAGAAATCCTTCTTGCAGGAAAGGTAAACACGTGCTGCAGCTAGGCGAATCGTCAAAGTTATTTATTTCAGCAAAGGTGGAGGCACAGGTACAATATTGATAGGTGGCAATAACCTTCCCGTTCAGCACTTTTCAGGAGGATGAAAGCTCTTCAACCAGCAAGTAGGTAGATTTAAACGATTTATCATAATAACGATAATATATCGGAACCGTTTTGATAAACTACCGAGCCGGAGAAAATTGTATGGGTTTCCTAGCATGATTGAATTTCCACGTGCACATGTGTATGGGGGGTTCCATCGTCCCGTGCCATGTTTTGCCCTTTTTTGGACCTTTCCATCTGAACCAGATAGATCAGCACGCACATTCGATATAAATTTCTTTTATGAGAAACTTTCAATACCTACACAATCTACATCAGCTTCAACACATACGTAGGCTCTTGTCAATATTTGTGAACATCATATACCTACAAGAGTACAGCGGAGGAGCCCGCATACGCTTTCCCTCATCCATGTCTTCAATCATCAGAGAAGTTCCCCTCGGCTGCTCCAAGCAAATCTTCAAATTGGAGAAAGGTAGCATAGGAGTGTATAAAATGCCCCACCGAGGTAAAACGTGCCTTTTGCATTTCTACGAATCCATGATTAATACAAATGCAAAACTGACGGGTAATCCTAGTATTTAATGGGACTTATCTAACGGGTGGAACGGTCCAAAAATTTGACGTCTCAAATTTGGTGTATTTATTTTATAGTTTTTAGGTGTCTGCGTACGGAATGTTGCCTCTATTTTGATATTTCCATTTACCATTAAGTTGTCAAAATGGCGTCGAAGCAAGAGGAACAGCGTTTCAAAATTTAGCTCGGGCTTAAGAAAAATCCAAATTTTTCCTACTCAGACTTGGCAAAATCGCTGAAAGTGGCCAAATCGACTGTGACAAACGTTATTAAAGCGTTTGAGGAATGTCTGATGACAGAGTGGCCAGCGCTATCAAGTGTTATCCTAACCTTTCCATCAGAGATGTTGGAAAGAAGTCGGGAATATCGCACACAACAGCGCAAGAAGCAAAGAAACGAGTCGGACTGTCAATATACAAGGTTACAGTGACGCCCAATCGAGATGATAAAGCAAAACACCATGGCCAAAGCAAGAGCACTTAAGTCGTACACGACATTGTTGACCAAGTTTGTTTGCTTCATACTGGACGATGAAACATACGTGAAGGAAGATTTCAAGCAGCTCCCAGGTCAGAAGTTTTACACGGCTACCGGAAAAGACAGGCTCAAGATAAGTGTAGACAGGAAAAGTTGTCAATGTCCCCGAAAAAATACTTGGTTTGGCAGGCGATTTGCACATGTGGGCTGAAAGGCGGAATTTTCGTGAAAACTGGCACTGTTAGCCAAGATATTTATGCAAAGCAATGTTAGAAAAAAAAAGTCTGTTGCTTTTATGAAGAAACCCAGATGTTCCGTGCTGTTTTGGCCAGACCTGTTACAACGGGAAAATGGTTCAGGAATGGTATACCGCCAACAACGTCCAAGTCACACCCAAAGACAAAAACCTGCCAAACTCGCCGGAGCTGCGCCCAATCGAAAAATATTCGGCAATCATTAAGCGAAACCTCAAAAAAGCTCAGAAAAAGTTTTAAATGAGAAATAGTTCAAAGCAAATTGTCGGTCAGCATCAAATAAGGTTGATACCACAGCGGTACAAAATCTGATGGACGGTGTGAAACGTATAGCCCAGCAGTTCACATGTGGAAAGTTGGAAGCATTATACAACCAAATTCCTGTATTTTGTAGCCGTAGACCTTAAAAAAAAATAAAGTTTGATCATTTATAAAATAACATAATAAGTGTGCACTTAATTATATTTGACCATTTTTTGACCGTTCCACCCTTTAGTTTCTGAGATTTGTACCATCAAAAATTCGAAGCGGTAAGGCAAAATATCCACAATAGCGGCCATTTGTGGATTTCATCAACTTTCACCATAATCGATTCCTTAGTCTTCTTCAATACGATTAACTTTTTACGACTGAGCAAACTAAATAAGGCCAGGTTTATCGAAAAATTAAACACACTAAAAAAACCTTTTTTTATTTCGTCGATTACCATGCGGGACCAAAATCCTTACACCTTAGCACGAGAGAATCATTAACGGCCAATATAAAATAATGCTCTCACATTATGCTCTGTATCACATCTTTTTCTTAAACATTAATCTTTAGTTTTTTTTTAACCAAAATCCGTACAAACGGTGCCGGTGATGTAGTGGTAAGCGTGATTACCTCTCACCCCAGCAGGCCTGGGTTCAATCCCAGTCGGCGCCGCCGGGATGTTCTGAGGCATAACATCTCTGATCACGCCTTCCTTCGGATGGGAAGTAAAGCCGTTGGTCCCCGGTTCATGAGTTGATGGGTCGATAGGTAGGATCCAGGTGTGGGAGCTGCCTTCCTGCCACGTCGGTAGCATTGGTGCT